TATTCAATGGATATATACGTACTTGAACTTTCAAAGTTTATTTCCGTAGATTTCGAGGGTTTTGAGTTAAGCATGCGGGTTCTCGGCATTTTATATCGATGGGCAAAGTGCGAGACCATGTATTTCCATTACGGTGTTTCAAAATCTCCACTCCGAATTTACTTTTTCGAAAGGGAACAAGTCAACTTAATAGCTTAAAATTTAAACAGAATATTCTACTTACAAGGAATGGAAATTAGAGAAGTTTATAAGAAATTACGTTGACTAAATTTTTAAGGGAAAACTAAAGTGTGACTGGAAGTCTACAACGTCACAAACGGTGATATGTGGTCTCGCACTTTAGCCATTCGTATACTACATGCACACATTACCCTACTCATAAATAATTGCCCAATACTCATATTGAAAACATGACCTCTGTATTATATGTTGTTATGACTTCCTCTTACAATAGAAAATTATCAGGATTATTTGTAATAAACTTTACAATTATCATTGTAGAACTTTATTTTCGGAAAAGGGTATTTTGACGGTTCATTCCCTGTACATGTGCGAGACTATCAATGAAGGTGTACGTATAAACTGGAATTCTAACTATTGACAGAATAACTCCTAATCATGGATATGGCATCAGACATTGTTTCATGAACAATAATATATTGTAACAACTACGGAGAGTAAATTAATGATAAATCAAGCGATAACGTTTTTCAACACCTTGAGCAGCGAATTGAAAGTGATGTACAGGGAAGGTTTCGTCAATATATTCCTTCACCGGTTGAATTAAGACTGAAAAATAAGGAGTATTATAGTCAGAAAAAATTCTTTGAGGACCCTTTATTATTCATTTTGTAGTGCCGCTACTGTAGTTTTGACCAATAAGGCCGTAATTTAAGGGCGCGAAAGCCAGGATTGTATTTCGCAAAAAGAAAATTTTACCAGAATAATTAAAAATTAAAGAGCAGGTGTAATTTAACTAAAAAATAAAAGGAATTCAAATCTACAATATGATGCAAAAATATTGGAAAATCTCGTCATGAAAATAGAGAAGATTCGAAAACGCCTTCAATTGAAGCGTGATACCTCACGCGTTTCGGAGAGTTCAAATAGTTGTATCCTTGCACCTTAGCAAGGCGATAGAAGTTTAATAATGAAGCAGCGTCCCCGCTCGGATTTTTGGCTTCCCTTTGCCGCTACTGCAGTTTCAACCGTTCAGGCCGGAGTGTAAGGGCGCTAAAGCCGGGATAGTACTTCGCAAAACGGTAATTTTTGCAGAATGATTAATAATTAAAGAAGATGAGTAATTTAACAATATAATAAAGGAACTCAAATCTACAATAAGATGCAAAAAAATTGGAAAATCTCGTCATGAAAATAGAGAAGATTCGAAAACGCCTTCAAGTGAGGCGTGATACCTCACGCGTTCCGGAGAGTTCAAATAGCTGTATCCCTGCGCCTTAGCAAGGCGATGGAAGTTTAACATTGATTAAGCGTCCCCACGTTGTTTTTCGGTTTTCCTGCGCCGCTACTGTAGTTTCAACCGTTAAGGCCGGAGTTTATGGGCTCTATAGGCGGGATTGTATTTCGCAAAAAGATAATTTTTGCATAATCATTAAAAAGTAAGAAGCAGGAATGATTTAACTAAATAACAAAACGAATTCAAATCTACAATAAAATGCAAAAAACTAACGCAGTTTAAGGGCGCTAAAGCCAGGGTTGTATTTCGCAAATGGATAGTATTTGCAGAATACTTAAAAATTAAGGAGCTGGTGTAATTTAACTAAATAATAAAAGGAACTCAAATCTACAATATGATGCAAAAATATTGGAAAATCTCGTCATGAAAATACAGAAGATTCGAAAACGCCTTCAATTGAGGCGTGATACCTCACGCGTTTCGGAGAGTTCAAATAGTTGTATCCCTGCGCTTTAGCAAGGCGATAGAAGTTTATAATATTGAAGCAGCGTCCCCGCTTGGTTTTTCGGCTTTGCTTTTACGCTACTGCAGTTTCGACCGTTCAGGCCATAGGTTAAGGTCGCTAAAACCAGGACTGTATTTCACCAAAAGATAACTTCTTGCATAATCATTAAAAATTAAGAAGCAGGATTAATTTAACTAAATAACAAAAGGAACTCAAATCTACAATAAAATGCGAAAAACTAACGTAGTTTCAGGGCGCTAAAGCCAGGGTTGTATTTCGCAAATGGATAGTTTTTGCAGACTACTGAAAAATTAAGGAGCAGGAGTAATTTAACTAAATAATAAAAGGAACTCAAATCTACAATATGATGAAAACAAATTTGGAAAATCTCGTCATGAAAATACAGAAGATTCTAAAACGCCTTCAATTGAAGCGTGATACCTCACGCGTTCTGGGGAGTTCAAATAGTTGTATCCCTGCGCCTTAGCAAGGCGATGGAAGTTTAAAAGTGAAGTAGCGGCCTCGCCTCGCCTTCGGTTTTCCTGCGCCGCTACTACAGTTTCGACCGTTCAGGCCGTAGATTAAGGGCTTGAAAGCCAGGATTGTACTTCGCAAAAAGAAAATTTTACCAGAATAATTAATAATTAAGAAGCAGGAATAATTTAACTAATTAATACTTTAGTACTTTAATACTTTAATTAGATTTTCCCTTATAATCACCCCGCACGGCGTGTCTTTTTTCCACCTTTAAATTGTTGCTTTGGTTTTGAAATTTCATGAAGTGTCGCATACTTTATAGTAAATAACGAAAAAAATAGCAAAATTTACCTCGCTACTTTTAAAATGCTCTCTTTTCCCCTTCAAAGCAGGGGCCACATCATGCGATTTTGTCGATGATTGTTCAAAACATTCACTCGGCACGGTTTGCCTGAACGAGATTAAATTTTTTGAAGAGTCAAAAGCAAGAATTCTTCAGATTCTAGAAGTAGAGTGTCTACCGAGTCATTTAGACCAAAAATAAACAATTCTGTTCAGCTGCTGGAAAACAAGTCGATCTAAAGGTATTTCGGGGCTAACATGCAAATGAACGATATAAAGGGAAAATCGGCAAAATCGCACGACGTAGCCTCTTTGATGGGGATAAAAGAGAATTTTAAACTAAGCTATGTAAATTTCATTATTTTTCTTGTAAAGTACTCTAAACAGTGTATAACCTCTAAAAATTTCAAAGCCGCAGGAACATTTTAAAGGGAGGAAAAAAATTCGTGAAATGACGAAAAAACGCGTCTTCGCACGCCACGCTTGCAACTTTAGGCTCTTTGAGGCGCGTTATAAATCATTTTTTTTCTCAATTTTTATTTTTTCCCCATTATTTTCTCATCAAATGAAACCATTTGCAGGGTTCCGCACTTTAAACTCCGTAAAGGCGATGGAAGTTTAAAATTGAAGTAGCGCCCTCGAGTTGTTTTTCGGTTTTCCTGTGCCGCTACTGTAGTTTCAACCGTTAAGGCCGTAGTTTAAGGGCGCTAAGGCCGGGATAGTATTTCGCAAACACATAATTTTTGCATAATCATAAAAAATTAAGAAGCAGGAATAATTTAACTAAACAACAAAAGGAACTTAAATCTACAATAAAATGCGTAAAACTAACGCAGTTTAAGGGCGCTAAAGCCAGGGATGTATTTCGCAAATGGATAGTGTTTGCAGAATACTTAAAAATTAAGGAGCTTGATTAATTTAATTAAATAATAAAAGGAACTCAAATCTACAATAAAATGTAAAAGTATTTGGAAAATCTCGTCATATAAATACAGAAGATTCGAAAACGCCTTCAATTCACGCGTTCCGGAGAGTTCAAATAGTTGTATCCCTGCGCCTTAGCAAGGCGATGGAAGTTTAACATTGATTAAGCGTCCCCGCGTTGTTTTTCGATTTTCCTGCGCCGCTACTACAGTTTCGACCGTTCAAGCCCTTGTTTAAGGGCGCGAAAGCCAGGATTGTATTTCGCAAAAAGAAAATTTTACCAGAATAAATAAAAATTAAGAAGCAGGAATAATTTAAGTAAATACTAAAAGGATCTCAAATCTACAATATAATGCAAAAAAATTTGGAAAATCTCGTCTTGTAAATACAGAAGATTCGAAAACGCCTTTAATTGAGGCGTAATACCTCACGCGTTCCGGAGAGTTCAAATAGTCGTATCCCTTCGCCTTAGCAAGGCGATGGTAGTTTAATATTGAAGTAGCGTCCTCGCTTGGTTTTTCGGCTTTCCTGTGCCGCCAGGAGCGGACTGGCCATGGGGGTGGGGAGGCGATCGCCCCCTAACAATTTTTCGGATTTTTTTCGAGTCATCGTTTTTTCCCCGAATGTTGTAATTTTCTTATCCTTTCCAATCACTAAAGGGCCCTGAATCCCTTGAAAATTTGTCTCTAAGAGACATGGAAGGTCGCTAAAAGCATTTAAGTTGAAGGGAAGCATCCTGAGAATGGGTTATTTTGAAGTTCAAGTACTGTAGAATCCAATTCCAATAATGCCTACGTGTTTAAAATGTGTAAAATTTTCAAAATTTACCGGGGGAGGACCCCCGGACCTTCTTAGAGGGGCCCCCGAACGCCAGGAGGGGCCCTTACGTTTAGGTCTCCTCCTAACTTTTCGACTACCAGTCCGCCCCTGAGTTTGTGTAAAACTCGTTATGAACATTGTAACTCTTAGGTGTATAAATTGTATAAAAAAATAAAAATTGACTCGTGCCAGAGCTTTTATATAATAGGCTGTATGCATCAAATAAATTCCATTATATTCTGAATATTTAAAAGATGAATATTAGAAGAATATTCAGAAATTATGAGGGTTAAGATCGAATACAGAGTAGGGAAATAGCATGAATTGGAAGAAAATCCCAGGTAGCTGCAGTAATTGCATCAACGTGAAAGGACTTTCAATGTCATGGTTTTCGGGCGATCGGCGCGGACGCGTCATTTTGAACAACCGCCAAGAATTTTAAAAATTGCGCGTCACGAATGCATCGTCCGGTGAGTGGTGCGGTTCGGTGGTCACGTGATGGTAATTTTACAACAAGAGTTCTCGGGTCTTTCCTAAGGTAAACTTTCTAAGTGTTTTTTCCGTAATTTAATGTCTTAATTGTTGTTTTTCGTCTGTTTTCCTAAGTTTTGAGTAAGTCTGACCATATTTCTCCTAATTCTTTGGCGCTCCAACGGATTCTATCTCGATACGAAGAGGATGTGCTCTCCGAGATCAGGCCGAGCTCAGCTTGCTTATCCGAAATGGCGTCTTCTGCACATGGAATCTTCGCACCCGGTTTCACTTTCTTGAAATTCAGATTCGTAGAAAAACGTTATTCACCTTTGTGAGCGGCGCTCCGTGGCTAATCGCGTTATCACGCAGATATTATTCACAAAGTCCGCCGCATTTATGAGAGGATATCTCTTTGTTGTTACCTGTTGGATGGTATCATGAATGGTTCAGGAAGAATGCTTGACTCATGATTGTTTTTCTTTTCATCTCGAGATTACATCCGAGCTCTCGATTATATTTCCTTATCTCAGCAACATTTCGGGAAACTCCTGACTCCCCTAACCGTCTATTGTAAAGTTTACTCGCCCTTTGAGATTAGGTATACGCCATACTCCGAAGTAGCATCTAAACTATTTTTGCAAGTAGAACAAAAATTTAATGGATTCACTTTAATTATAGTCGGAGCGGAAACATATCTAGCTTCCCCTCTAGTTACGTCAAACATTCAGTCATTTGGAAACTTTTCGCGAGAGTAGTCTCTAATCATCATGCCAGTTGAACTGCGCTTTATCCTTGCTCTCACCCTATCTGATTTTCATTATTAACTTCTATTTTTCCTAAATCTTGTTGTTTGCGGCAAATTTTTACTCTGACTCATCCTATCTCAGATCTTGACCCAGATCTGGTAGTAATATTACGCCGTGTGATAAGAGATGTGCTGCATCTAGGAAAGTTACACGTGTGGGCGTCAGTCTACAAATTCATGATAGTTCATAGACCTGCAGTTGTCTAGCTGTACATTCCTCCTCGTGATAAAAGGCCTATTTTATTTCCTTTCACTTTTAATCATAAATCAGTAACATATTCGGGGATGTGATCCTTAGACCACCGTACATAACTCCTCTTTATCAGCACCTGAGCATGGAAGTGGATTTATATCAGGTGTGAAGACTTAGAAATTCAGTTAATGACATTCTAACCCTTGCTTGAACTTGGACTTCACTATTGTCTAATTGAAACTGAATTATGAATCTGTATCTGACTCGCAATGAATTTTTCATCATGAACTTCCGTCTTCTTCTTTGTTTCTTACATTGTCATTCATTGAACTCAATAATCACATCTCATTGCGGTGCTCATGATTTTCTCTCTGAATAAATTTACTTGGACCAAGGAGAAAAGAATTTATCCCACAGAAACAAACATCTCAAGGGTTTTTTCAAATTTAATATCAAGCATCACTTTATAATGTAGTTTGTGTCCTTAGTGATGATTGCATTGTAGTTTAGAGGTTCAGCTATGTCAGTAATTCATTGTTTACATTGAGCTAACCTTTGTTCTAGACCATTCCTCTCCTCTGCTTATTCTATCTGCTTCGAAATCTAACGTCTCAAAGTTTATTACGAATTGAAGATAATTTCTCCTATGATATTTTTCCAAGATAAACTTAAGTTGAAATGATCATTCTCGTTAACATGGTATCTTTTATCTTCTTGGGGTGTTAAATGCACCCTGTAAGCTTGCTTCATACTTGATAACACCCAGAAGTAATCTGCGTTGTCTACTTGATGTTCAAACTAGCAGGGGTTTGGCATCCTCATGAAGGAAGTTGTTAGAAAATACGATTATACGACATTGTTTTCCTCTCATTTATCATGGAAACGCAGCGCAGCCATAGGTATAATTACAGGATATGGTTGTTTATATCACGATGAAAATTCCCTGCCCAACTCACCGTTTTATTGATTTCCAGCCCAAACTGCTGGACTCTCGTTTGTTGCGTCATATCATTGCAGATGGATATAAAAGCGACAGATGATGCTTTGACCATCTGACTTCAATCAACGAAAGTTTAAATATGTCCTCTGGGTGTTAAGGACAAATATTCACAAGTAGAGGCTATCATTTACTGGTTGTGCATGATTCTGTTTTCAGAAAATGGCAGGATAATTTTTCTTAATTTTCCAAATTTTCTGTTGTTTATTTGAGTACATCTTCACATCAATTTGAGCTGTATATCTTTCAGTTCACCCTCAGAGATATCCTTCTACTTTTAACTGCTTGGTTGAAAATTACCAGCGCATTTCTCCTAGACTCGCCAGTCTCCTAGGAAACCGAAATTTTTTTAAAAAAATTTGATTTTATTGAGAAGAATTCGATTTTCCGAAGAATTGGTTTAAGACAGAGAAAAACCAAGGCCATTTTCAGATTTAGTGCCAAAGATAAATTCTCCTAGGCAAATTGCATTCTCAAACGGTCTGTCTCACTCTTTCCATTAGCAAGGCTTTCCTTGTCTAAAATCATAATCTGCCCACTTATTTACTGCAATGTGTGTTTTTAAGTTTTTGATATTTTTTAAAAAAAATTATTTTTGGCAGATCTAGAATGACGAAGTAGCAGGTTAAAATATTTTGGGATTTAGCTCTTTTTTTTTTAGCCTATCTCTCATGTTCTACTTTATTTTATTGGAAGTATTTCTGTTACACAAGTCATGGGAATGAGTCATAGAATTTATTTCTTCCATTGGTTTCATCAAGTATCGTGCATCCAAGGTACATTCTACTACAGGCATGAACAAATGGAATTTTAGAAAATTGTTGAAACGCATAGATTTGACAGTGTCCAATGGTACGACTGCATAACGTTACATTGAAAACTTATTCACTTTCTGTTCTGAGAGTGGGTCTCGTCAATTTCGTGTTATTTTTTCGTGTCCTTAGTTAAGTTTTTCGTTATTTTGAGTTTGATTAAATTTTTAAATTCATCTGATAGCTTATTGAAGCTACCAGACCTGTCAGGACCTCATTTGGAACTGCGCATCAAAGACGGTACGACTTGCGACATCACTCAATGGCCTGTATTCTCAGCGCTGCCACTTTGGCACCCTGTTTGTCCATACCTGTAGTAGAGTGCACCTTGTCGTACATCATGGTTCCTCTCATCAAAAGTGCTCAGTGATTGACTTTTGTAATGCTATCAACTTTCTTTTTGTCTGTTCCAGAATACAGTGTAAATAGCATTGTACATAGAGTGTGGTGTGTGTTTTATACAATGAGCTCCTCTAACCGTACTACCGGTCGCTCCGGTGGCAAAAACACAGCTGTCAAGAAGAATGAGTCTGCTCCGGTGGTCAGCAAAGCACACAAGAATGAAGCCAAAAAGACAGAGTCTGCTCATGTGACTCACAAGGTATAATGCCTCTGTATTCTATTAATTTTGATTACTTCAATTTGAAATATTTATTGTGAACCGTTTCCGGTCCGGGGGCCATTTTGCCGCGGCCGCTGTAGCAGGTCTGCATGCTTTTTTGGAAATTAGCTGGTACTAGTTCCCAGAGAGTCCTTTAGAGGCTGCCACTCGCTGGTAGGTTCAGAAATATTCGACAACTGATTTGCACACAAGCTCAAACTTTTTGGCTACTCTATCCGACATCGGACCTGAACGGGTTGTTTTTGCGATGTCGAAAATATCCGACTTCGTACCGGAAAGGGTAATTAACTACTTCATGTTTAATTTAGTTGAACTTGAATGTAACTACTAGCTAGGTAGCTAAGTTATATTACTGACCTAGCGGTTAAAAAGTAAGATGAAATTGGTGGAGAACGTATTATCCCCCTATCGCATGAATTAATTTTCGAATTTGGATTCTAAGGAACATATACCTATTCTGTGTACCTAGCTTCTTAAAAATATTTAGTTCTAGTTTTTTTCTCAAAATGTCAAAATATTGGTATTCTTGTTTTCAAAAACAAAAATACCGATACTATTGGACTGCGTTTAACAAAAAGGAACCAAGCCACAGCAGCTATTGCCAAATTTAACTGGGCAATTTTTTACAAGAGAATGTCTCTGTGGATTCCTTTGAAAATTCTAAGGAATTTGCTTTGTACTAAAGAGAAAATTTGCTGAAATTTGCACAAAAATCCAGAGAGTTTTCATGTAAAAAACAGAATTGCCAAATTAAATTTGGCAATAGCTAATGTGACTTGGTTCGGTTCTGTTTAACGCGGTCCAAATGTGCAACATCATGCCGTAGAAAAATGATTCTATTTTCAAAGAACCCAAAAATGTGTTGTAACATTTAAAACATCAGCTCACCATTATGTTTCAGTTTTCTAAAATAACTGTATTTTAGTCTACCTTCGGATGATCTACTTCAACGCTCATTTGAACCGCGTTTAACAGAAAGGAACCAAGCCACATCAGCTACTGCCAATTTTAATGGGGAAATCCAATTTTTTATGAGAGAACGTTTGTGCTTATTCTTTTGAGTATTTTCAGGAATGTGCTTTGTAGTATAGAAAAAATTCCCTGAAATTTGCACATAAATCCGCACAACCGTTTTCATGTAAAAAATTAAACGGCCCTATCAAATTTGGCAATAGCTGATGTGGCTTGGTTCCTTCTGTTTAACGCGGTCCATTTAATCTAAAGATCTTGCTTATCCCACCATGTGAAGACCATGAAGCCCCCAATAAATGTTTCTAATTATCAAGTTCTTCCCTAATTTTGCATTAATTTAATTTTTTTTCCGCGTATCAGCTTATGTCTACTGCCACTGTGGTAATTTTTGTCAGTTTTTTTTAAGTGTAGTCTCTCTTTTTTACAGGCAACTGCCGAGCAAATCAGAATGGCACAAACAACCACCATTGACACGAAAGCGGATGTAGATCCAAAGCTAGCTTCTAAAATCAAGAAGGTAAGCTCAGCTCTGGTTTTCTTTTAATTTAGCCCTGTTTCATGAAAAAAGTCTCTACTCATGATAAAATTATTACCTACTTTTTCTCCTTTACCCCTTCAGGTCCTAATTGGAAAAGAAGGCTCTATTATGAAAGCGCGTGAATTCTGTTTGAAGTCGTTCCTTTTTTCATCGTAGGTTTAAAGCCAAAATATGAAATAATTTCATCAATAAGATAGGTCCCTAGATATTTATGTCAGCTTATGCGTGTTTTCTTTGCACTGAATGAAGTCTCTTGCTCCCTTACGCATATGCAAATTTTTAAGGCAACTTCCGAAATTTTTTACTGTCCTACAATTACAAAATTTAGAGCCTTTCTTACACTTCTCAAGTGCCCCGGTAGATTGTTTTTCTCTTTTTAAAATTTCCTTTTTTTTGACAGGTAATGGAGTTCACATCAAGGTCAGAAGATGAAGTAATTTTGGCTTTTCATGACTGTGATAATGACCTTGAACGAGCTATAGAGTATTTGCTTTCAGAAAATGTGGTAAGTTTCTTATTCAGTACAAATTTTTTAAAATAGAGGGTAGGGTAGAATAGAATAGAGTAGAATAAAATTTATTGTTTCATTTTCAGTTTGCAAAAAAATAAAAATTAAAACGAAGTCATCATACAAGAATAGAGAGGTAACAATGAGTGGGTACAAAAGCACAAGGGCTAATATTTATTATGACAATTTTTAACAGCCCATTTTTCTTCCAGGTAATTTAAATTTTTTAGGAGTGTAGCTAATAAAAGATCATATATATCAGTTTTAAACCAGTTTAGTGGAATATATGTTCCTATTTATTTTTTTTTATTGTACTTGGGTATAAAAATATCACATGATGAATTTTACCACACCTTACCTACATTGCCTGATTTGCAATGATTTTAAATTCTTGCTGAGATATTTTTAATAACCCACTGTAGTTACGAGATTTTGATAAGTGTTCCAGTAAAAAAAGAATGTAAAGTTGGAAAGAGATCGGATCTCCGATATTTTCTATTAGCCTTGTTTCATAATCATAACTTATGCCTGGAATAAACCCGGTTAAAGATACATTAAGGGATTTACATGTCTTCTCAGTGTTTTTTTTCTCATTTCTAAAAGGTCATCTGTACAATATGAATGGCTTTGAGAGTGGGGCGGGGTAGGTGTCTTGTCTATCTTTATGCAGTGTTAAGTGAGCCTGTCGGTAAAAATGATCAGAAAAAAACTTCAGTGCAGAGTTTCTGCTCCCTTGTGATGAATTTAGATGGCCTTGTAGAATTGGTATGGAATATCATAAATAAATGGAATGATAAAAGGTTTTAGTAGCGCAAGGGGCAGTAAATCATGAAAACACAATTTCTTTCCCTAGATATGATACTGTTTTGTAGACAAGGACTATCTAAAGAAGACTGAAAAAGACTCACTAACATTTCATGGGGCCACGTCCTCTTTTAATAATCTACCCTAAAAGTTGAAAGTTATCATTGTAGGCAGAAATTCAACTCAAAATTTCTGGAAAAATTAAAAAAGATCTGAAAGAAAAGCCCTTCTAACTCAATGAATAAATTTTTAAAGGATCAAAAGTAATCAATTTTGCATTTAAAATATTTTATAGGTAATTTACAGTTATATTATTGTATTATGTGTATCATTGTCATCGTATTATGTAGATTAAGATGCTGATTAACTTATGGTTTAATGGAAAGTGAGCTAGATGTATATCTTTGGCTTGCAAAAGTAGTGCTTCTATTGTACCAAAGTGTAAGAATTGAAACGTATGAGTAGATGTGCCAATTCGTCGTTTCCCGCACGAAGGAACGTAACTGCATTTCAATGTTGCCAAATTTCCCTTCGTAAATTGCATTTTAACCAGAAAAATCTTGGGCATTTCTGACTGAAAATTTCACAGATTTTTCTTCAGATTTCATGCAAAAATCAGACAAATTTGGATAAAAATTGCACACTTACATTTTTGTAAAATAAATTAATTGTTGGAGTCAATTTGGCAACCTTGGATTTGAGTTACGTTCCTTCGTGCGGGAGACGACGAATTGTGGTCACTGCTTCAATGAGTCAGTTGAGTCATTTTTTTTTATTTTGTCATTCGAAAGCAGTAAGTGACCGAAGCTTACAGTTTTTTCCCTAATTTTTTTTGATGACTGCAAACGGGAGAAAAGTTTATTTGAAAGTGCCAAAAATTAGGGTGGCCTAAAACAGCGTTTGAACCGCGCGCTCGTAGGTTTCGAATGTACATGTCACGATCAATATGGTGGCGGAATGCGTAGTGGAAGAACACACGGCGGCATCGCGTTAGCGGTGTGTTTTTGTTGGTCAATTTGAGGTCATATAGGTTACTTTGTTTGAGATTCATATCCATTGTTCTTAATTCTCTAAGGTTTTCAATCAGAATGCGATACAGATGTATGTAGGACATGAAACATTCACACAGAACTTACTTAAGCTCAAACGAAAAATCGTGATGTCAACAACGGCAGCGTGGCGGTAGTAAGCAGGTCGGCTTCGGTGCCGCCATCTTCCCGTCTATGATGCGTAGATCCGAAGATTCACGGCGGTCGGTTCAAACATGTTTTCGAGGACCCGAAAAAAGGAAGCGTTATCTCTCCGCGGAGGAAATTTTTCGTGAAATTTTAACGTGCGTTTCGTTCTTCTCGTACCGAAAACTGTAAGATTCGACTATTTGCAGGCAAATCCCTCCCGAGCTTAACTGACTCATTTTGAATTAGCCAGTAATGAATTTATAGGGGCATTTTTGCCTTTGGCTCTTGTAACATTTAAACACTGCGAGTGGAAGTTAGTATTATTATCGCGAAAGTTTTGTTTCATAAGAATGGCATTCATTTAAATCAACTGTTATTGTTTTTAATTTACAGGACAGTCAGTGGTCTGTATCAAAGAAGAAGAGACGGGCTGCTAGCCAATCAAAACCAGGCGGCGAGCCTGCTACAAACCACCATGCAAACGAAGCAGAGGCGGAGAAGGAGGAAGAGCCTGAGGCAGCTGTTACAGGCAACGGAACAGCCACAGCGAATAACACCAGAAGAGGTGGCCGGCGAGGGGGTCCACCACGTGCCAACGATAGGAGCGCCGATGCTGGAAAGTGTAAGTGTCAGAATAGAATAGATTAATTTTTTTCTTTTTTTTCAATTTACAAAATAACAATGAATGCAAAGTCAAAGTACAGAACTAAACAGACAGTACAGAACAGTTCAGAATTAAAATTGGAAGCTTTAGAACCATCATTAATTCTGAGAGGTTGAAACTCTCATGGGAAACCTGGAAAAGTCAGGTGTATGACAGTAAATTTTTTTTGGGATTGCTAAAGTGCCCTTTATGACTGTCAGGTTGCAGCCATCATGGCTTCTTTTTCTCTGAAAAGTCAGGGATTTTTGGTATATGGAGTCACAGAATTATTTATGTTAAGCTAGGGATTTAGGGAACAGTCAGGTAATTTTAGCATACTAACAATAAGCCAATGATTTTTTCAGAGGAGACAAAGAAAGTTTAAAAATCTTGGCGTACATAAATGGATATACAGTCGGAGATTTTCCCAGTTAAGTTGCGGAAAATCAGGGAATTTTGAAAATTTATCTAACATGCAATCCTGTGCTTACAAGCTGAAATTAATTGTCCCAGAAGAAATGCCCGCCAGATTATCTTCTCTAGTGGGCTGTTTTTATAGTAAAATAAATGCTAAGAATTTGTCTAGACTGCATAGATCTTTGGTCAATTGGACCGCGTTTAGCAGAAAGGAACCAAACCATATTAGCTATTGCCAAATTCAACTGGGCAATTTACTTATTTACAAGAGAGCATTTGTGCGGATTCTTTTGAAAATTTTAAGGAATCTGTTTCATACTGTGCAGAAAATTCACCGAAATTTGCACCAAAAATATCTGCACAACCGTTTTCATGTAAAAAATTGTATATCCTAATTAAATTTGGCAATAGCTGATGTGGCTTGGTTCCTTTCTGCTTAACGCAGTCCGATTGTTTTTGTATGAATTGATGAAATAGAGTCTCTATTCAGTCCAGTAAATTTTAACCCATTGACTTAAAATGACGGCTCCCAGCCGTCCATTGATTGTTAGCGTTATTTCGGCTATTCTCCGGTAGATTGCGTTCTCATCAATGTTTATATGAGTAGTGTGGCCACTCTATGACTTATTGTGTACGGTAATTTCTTGTTTTGTTACGGTATTTTCATATTACTGTGCGTTTGAACATGAAATAACCTCAAAATTTTCTGATTTTCGCTGATTTTGCGATTTTGGCGACTTTGACAGCTATTAACCACAGTAAAAAAATCATTTTGTTCAAAGTTTTCACCATTTTTCTCAAACGTTGTATTGTGAATGCTTATTGTGTCAATTTTCACCCTTAGAGAAAGAATTTCTGGATTATTTTGAAGTGTTCAAAGTTACTGATTTTCGTCAAATTAAATCATAAGTCGATGGGTTAATGCTTCTTACTTGTGTGTAAAATTTTATCTTTTCAAATATGGTTCAAACATATTCAATAGTTTTTGTCTCTATGTTGAGGAACATGTGTGACATACCTACAGATTTCATCTTCAGTCTTTTGCTGTGATTGTTTATGTTAGTGATGGAAGAGGTATTATTTCTGAATACCCAAGATATATTCTGAAAGACCTTTAGAGAAAAATGGGACCTTAAATAGATGTAAAATTCCTTATGGATCCGGATTCCTCTAAGGATCCTCAGACTCAGATTGTCGTGATCCAAGATTTTAACCACTACTTTAGTTCTTTATTCAAAAAAGACTCCTTTCTGTGGTTGAGTTTCGTAGATCTAAAAGATTCTGTTTTGTATAAATTAGTCAAAATCCGGAAGCAAGAGTCTACTTCACTTTTTCGGTTCTTAAGAGCTCTTAAAGACCAAAACAACTTTGTTATTTGAAGCAGTTTCTTTGTATTTAATTTTTTCATAACTGGCACAACATTTAATTTTTTTTTTTCTTCTTCTTCAGGGAAAGGTAAAGAGAATAAGGAGAACGAAAAGAATGCCTCAGACAGCAGGGGAAGAGGTAGAGACGGAGGTTTTCGTCGAGATCGTGGTGACAGGGGCGGTCGAGGAATGGCGAATGGCTCTGTTGGCCGAGGTGGTCTTGGTGGCCGAGGTAGAGGTGGCAGAGGAGGTGGAAGGTTGAGCACTCGCACTTATCAACCTCGTGGTGACAAACCTGGTATTTCCCGAACTATCGATACATGGAACAATCCTTCAGTTGAAAATTCCGCTACGGAAAAAATGGGTGAGTAACAATTAATTTCTTCCTCCAGCTTTCCTTCCATGCTCTTGGGTTTCGAAAAAACTTTTCATACTTCTTCAAATGTTTCTTTTTCTATGAAAATGAAGTATTATCAGATGAAGAATGAAAACTAATTTAGACAGTTCATTTATCAGGCTTAAAATTGTTGGCCTTGTAGTTTTAGGCCGTAAAACGTAGAAAGCAATGGTAAACTATATTTTTTTTTCCCAGTAGCACCAACCAAAGTTTTTGCCGGCAGGAGAAAGTTCACCTTTGCTCATTAAAATGGTGCAGATGAGCTTAAATGAATATTCCCATCAGTTGTTGGATGGTGGACTGCTGTGAACCATCCCAACCCAATCCCATTTCCAGATCGGGCTGTTGGCGGTCTGGAAAAGAGCTGGGAAAAGTCAGGGACTTTGTGCCAAAAGTCAAAGAATTTGTAGTAAAAGTCAGCAAATTTCTGCGACATCTACTAATCACTTTAACATTACTGATCTTCCATCTGCTTACCTTCCTGGTCATTTTTAAGGCTTGTCATCTGTCAACATACTACTACTATCATTTGATATTTTAACAAGGAAATGTCCAAAGTTTAGGGAAAAATAGCATACTTTAAGTGGAAAATAAAGGGTGATGGACATTTTGTTCGGAGGTCAGGGAAAGGCAGGGAATTAGAAACTTTTCGAGTCAGCGAAAAGCAAAAATAGTCGGGAAAAATCAGGGAATTTGAAGATAAAGAAATTATGGCAACCCTGCATTTCAAATAAGATATTCAATAATGCAATGATCCATAGAATACATAGAGTTGTAATGTAAATGGAAGAACTGCCGCCATGTTCTGCTCGACTAGTTCCGAGCCCAGTTTGCGCCGAGCTTCAGTCACTTTTTCAATACATGTTCGATTCAAAATGGCAGTGTGGAATACGAGGTGATTCCTATCTTCTTCGTTTGCATAGGATGGCTGGGTACCTGTGTATCGCAAACAATTGATCATGTATCGAAAAAGTGACCTGGCGTCACACAGGAGTCTTGGAATTTGGTACCTGGAAAATGCTTAAAAGTGGCGCCAGCTTTCCCACTTACATTACAATTCTAATTCTGTTTACCCTAACAATCCTTAATTGAATTAGTTCATAGATTTTATGTCTTCTGAAGCTAAAATCAAATCAAAGCTTGTGATGCCTTAAAAAGTTGGTAAGTATTTTTGGATTTCTTTTCAAAGAATCTTTCATACGAGACCACAGAATTCTGTGTCAGCTAATTTAAGTCTTCTTTCAGTTTTTATTTCGAGTATTTTGTAGTAACTGTTTTTATCTCATTTTTTTGTTTCTAGGAAACTGGGAGAACGATTTCCCTGTGCCCGAAGAGTGGGATAATGAAGAATATACTGGTTCGCTCACTGAAACCAAAGTCTTCACACCCAGCTCAGCTGTACCTGAAGAACCGACTGTTGAGACTACCTCAACCCTCCCGACTGAAGAAAGCCAAGACTTGTCCTCGATCACTAAAGCGCCATCCCCGCATACACAACAGGTACCATCAATACAAGTACCTCTAAATCTCCCAATTTCTTAAAGTTCCTCTCAAAATATATATCTAGTTTTTGGAGTCTGAGACTGTTTTTAAGAGTCGCCCATGTTGAGCAGGGATTGAATGGAATGACTCCTCTAACGAAATGTTTATCCGTGCTGTGGTATCCTTGTTGAAGCAGGAAGCTTAAAAAAAATGCAAATTTCTCATGCAGATTGCGAAGTTAGAAGTGCACTTCAGAGTTTGCCAATGCGTTCATCGTGATTTTTGAGACATTATCTATAAGGAACAACTCTTATTTTTGCTCTAGCAAAAGTTTGCCACAAGCCCATTCTTCATCAGCTTGGTCTCGAGCTCTAGGAGCAGAGATGGTTAAGTTTTTGAATTTAATGAAATAGAACTGATTAATTTCTTTTTACTGTATCTCCAAAATAGGTCTGTGAATTACCCTGTCAACATTTTTCTTATATAATCCTTGCAAAGTATCATCTCTCTGTCATGCCCATAATGAATTTTCAAGATTAGACATTTGTAAATCAAGCTAAAAGTGTTGGCAGAAGAAACATTTCAAAATTAATGCTGAGGTTAGCTTTTTGAGCAAATCAAAGCAGATACCTGAAGACTGCAAGGTCTTCCGGATCAAATTTTCAGCTCATTTAGTTGTGAATTAATCCATTTACAACTTTTCTTGAGACAAGTTTTTGGAACCCCACAACAATTGTTTTCTCTCCTGAGCAACTAATTAACAGTTTCAGGAACAGATACATTCCTCTCGTAAGCACCAACTAGTTTTCTGGGAGGGTAGGGCTGTGCGAATAGTGAATTTTCCGAACGAAGCGAGTAGCAAATAATTTCGGTAACTATTCGCGAATAGCGAAGCGAATGACGAATCATTCATGTCAATTATTCACAGCTACGAATAGTAAAACGAATAATTGGAAATGACTTTTTGAAGAGTGAAAATTCGCGAATATTACAAAAGTCGACAAAAAAAATGTGATTAATTTTTTAAGAATTTTCCATTTGCTCATACGCCTGCACAGAAAACAATGAAATGCTATGATAGTAGCCTAGGCTGTTAAGAATTTGTTCGAAGATCTCTGGATGCTGGCTTGACTGTCCCTGCAGTTACGTATGCATTTCCAGAATTTGAAGATAACTACGCGGGCAGTCAAGGTAGTATCGAAGGATCACTAGACACATTTTAGTATTTTATTTTTTTTGGTGTAAATAAGAATGTGCTTATGAACTTTTTTTTTTCAATTTCAGACATCTCTGTGTCTTTCAATCCTTAATTAGGGCTCTTTGCTTATTCCCCCAATCGCAATCGCGCTCGCTGTTCGTAAACTCAGCAAAGTCGGTGCAGATCACAGGAGATCCGCCGTTCCCGATGTCTCGGGTAGAAGCGTTTCACGTTTCACGATTGCCACTCGAAAATTCGTTATTTTTGATGGCGCAAATATTTGAAAATTCATTCCTCGTGACGGCGCAAATATTTGAAAAAGTCAGTTCAAAAATTCACTATTCGCGACGGCGCGATTATTCGCAATTTGCGAATAGTGCGCGAGGCAGACGAAGCGAATATTCGCAGCGCGAATAGTCGGAATTGCGAATATTCGCACAGTCCTACGGGAGGGAAAACATTTCTCTCTTAAGCAAATACTCAATGCAGAGGAGAGAATTGTTTTCGCTCCCAAGCAACTAGTTAGTGCTGAGGAACGGATACATTCCTCTCCTAAGCACCAATCAGTTACTCGGGAGAGAAAACATTTCTCTCGAAAACAACTACTCAATGCAGAGGAGAGAAATGTTTTCTCTCCCGAGCAACTAGTTCATTCTTAGAAAAGGATACATTCCTGTCATATGTACCAACTTTTTGCTCTGGAAACAAAACAATTGTCTTGGGGATCCAAAAACTTGTACCAGGAAAAACTCTGTACATCATGGAATTTTCAGTCCAAGTAGCTGAATTTAAAGTCTTAATCTAGCTTGAAATGCAGCTTCACATTCTTTATTAACAAACAAATGAACGGACATCCTTGTGTTTTTTTCTTTTAAATGTAAGGAAGTGTTTTCTATTAAAAACTCGCTCACTGTTTTCCAGACAAAAGCATTTCCAGTCAGACAAAAATGTTTCTCCTATAAAGCTTGCCTCATGGAAATCAGATCCCTCTCTACAGTCACCTATCATTTAATTTTTCTTGTTCTATAATGTCATTTATTCATTGTGCAATTTTATACTTTTAGGGTGTCATGGGCATGGGGACAACACTGACAGCAGCCCAAACGCAGTTCTTGAGCCAACTAACGCAACAGCATTCCCAGCACTCGACCGATGCGATGAAACAACCAAGCTCAGTTGCTCCCACATCAGCAACGCAGTCAAATTCGTACTCATCTATGTATCAGACCAATAATGAACCGGAGCAGCAGAATACGCAGTCGAATTCGTACCAGTCGATGTATCACCCGAGTAGTCAGTCAATTACTTCTACGTATTCAACATCATCAGGTACAGGTTATTGTGCGTAACGTAAAATTGTCTTTTCAATTATAGATTACGAGATGAGCTGTTGATGCAATTCACAATATGTTTTAAAACGCAAAGCATAGCAGGTAAAACTTCCACAATATTGTGAAGTTAAATTTTGTGATAGGGTTGTAAAAAGGTTTTAAAAAGCTTAAAAGAAGTTTGTACTTCTAATTCTAAAATCTTATTGACAACCCAATCAAATCTTAGCTTGTTAATTGAGCTGATGCAATGTTGCAGGAGTCATTTATCAAAAGTTAATTTTTCAACTTATTTACATGTATTTTATGATGGTTCAATTTTTCATGGTTCATTTTTTGGTTAGATGATTTGATAAATACATGTAGAACCCTGAAGTAATGAGGAATCAGGAAAACAAAACCTGTTCAAGTTTTGGGAAACGATATTTGTCTCATGCAATGCTGGTTAAAGTCTCTAGTTAACAGGTGGGATTAGCAAGAAAACACCTCGATGCAGGATGTCGACAGGTCTGGAAAACTGGAAATTGCATGAAAAACCTGGAATTTTGAAAAATCGTAGAATTCAAAATCTGATGAAAAATCAGTGCTGTCCACACAATCAAATTGAGCGTGTCTGTTTTGCGACTCAACGGGCTGAGAGGCACTATATGAACTATAAACGAACTGCATTTTGCAATAAGGAACCATTATTTCTGCCTAATTTTAGAAACAATAAATAGGCCATCGGTTTTCTTAAGCAGAAAGGTGCTTTTATAGAAGAGCCAAAGGTATTGGTTCCATATTGCAAAATGTAATCCAAATATAAGAAGAAACTGCACTTCTAGTTAGTTCAATGATTAATATCTGAAGAATTAAGGGTAACATGTTCCTGTAATTTACTGTAAAACAAATGCTAAAAGTGGTTAATTTTCAGTTTTAAGAGTGCAAATTGTCGATGTGAAATTAGGAAAAGATAATCATTTTGGTCTGGAAAAATGAGGAAAAGTTATGAAATATTTGCTCTTTGAGCCTATAGATACCCTGTGACACATCAAATATTCTGGAGGTGGTGAGTGTAGTAAGTTAATGTCAGAAAAATTTCACTTCCATTTTTGCATGGAGAATACTTCCTAGTGTTTCCATCAACAAAGCAAACTTTCCAACTTTTTCGGTGTTAATCAGAAAATTCACTATGAATTTTTCAAATACTTCACTCACATACTGAAGATGACTATTTCAGGTATCTAAAATTAATTCGTATTTTTTTTTCTTATTTTAGTCCCATTCCCTCCTAGCAGTTATGGAAATTCGATGGTGAGCAACTATGGTGCGCTTCAAGACGTAACTTCGCAGTCTCAGTCATTGCCTCCTCGTAACAAACCTCAGAGGGCCAGGGTTCCTCCACCTTCAAAGGTATTTTCCTTATTTAAAGTCCAAAAACTCAAATCAAAGGATGATAAATTAACATTAGTTCTATTTTTACTTTTTAATCTAAAAATATACATTATGCTTGTACGATGCCTTTGACACGGAATCTAACAATGAAATCTTAAGTCAAATCCCTAAAAGCCAAAAAAAAAAAAACCAATAATGCAGTACGGTGAAATTTTGATAAGTTAGATAGGTTCGAAATTGGCAGTTTTATCTGACTTAAGCAAAGTTTTGAGTCATGCTGCTTTTCTGCCAAATAACTTAAGGCAAAACTCTACTGAGGCCATTTACTGTAACAAACGTAATTGAGTAGTAATTTCAACTAATTATGGTAATCAGAAATTTTTACTGGAATTTATTTTTTGACCCGATCATCTGTAGAAACGGTGAAAAATTATGCGTTAGATGACTGTTAGTTAAATGAGCCAGACCTACCTACCGAAATGTGCAGCAGAATTCTCCTGAAAAGCTTTGAAGCATACTTCAAATGCCGTCATGATGTTTTTTTGGGTGCAAAACATCTGAAATTGGTGAGAGGTGAAATGCCTTTAACACCTGAGCAAGGGCATGTTGAGCTCAGCATTTTATTTACAGTCACCGTGACCTTAATATTGAATATTTGACCCTAAAAATTCTGTCTTTATCGCAACGGAATGAGATAATATAGTTGAGCTTGTTTTTCAGCTTCTAGAAAGCTGGAACTGAAGCAAAAAATACGGTTGCAAAAGACTACTTTTTGAATCTCTTTGCTAGAAACATTTAAGTTTGGATTGGTCTAACAGCAGAACAATTTGCCGCCTTGCTCCACTATTTTCCTGGAAATATAGATAGCACAAAATTAGTAGTGCATTCGGTGCATCTTAACGCTGAACTCTTGTAGACACGAGTTGCTGCTACTTAGGACGTAAGTCAGCAGACAATCAGTTGACTTATTGTTGATTCCAGACAGTTTAAGTAGAATACTTGAAAAACGAAACCTTCAAAATAGCCTTTAGTTTGAGCCAAGTACAGCCTGGCAATGATAAAGTACATAGTAACTGTTAGGGACAGAACTTACCTTTATTTCGATCAAATTTCTAATTTTTTTTTCAACAGCATTTTTGATCAGACGAAGAGAAAGCTTTTTAAACCAATGCTAGCTTGCATCACCAATGGCTATGTTTTAGAATTTTTGGCCAAGAAAATTTTATGGCAAGAAATTACTCGGATACCAGTTTGAGAGACCTTTTACAATTGTCTACTTGAGAAGATTTATTAAATCTGAGGACGTATTTTGATTTGACCGAGGATTTGAGCAAATCAAGCCACAGGAGATACAGGATATAAGGTTTCCATCTCGTTCCTTAGGAGAGATAAAGGCTAATTTACAACTGAAAGGGCAAACCTCAGTTGCATTAGCACAAAACGAAGGTGGATTGTGGAGGTTGTAAGTAGTAGCCTCAAGCGATTTAAGTATTTCTGATGTGTCATTCCATCTCCGAAAATTCCTGATTTTTCCTGAAGATTTTTGAGTCATCGCCGCCCTCTATAATGCCTCTGCAACAATTACGATGAAGCTGTGGCGTTTAAGCTGTTGCAAAATCTTGATTTGCCAAACGCCATACAGTGGATTGTGGAAGTTGTAAATAGTAGCCTCAAGCGATTTAAGTATTTCTGATATGTTATTCCATCTCCAAAAATTCCTGATATACTGGAAGATTTTCAAGTCATCACTGCCCTCTAAATGCCTCTGCAACAATTACGATGAAGCTGTGGTGTTTAAGCTGTTGCTAAATCTTGATTTGCCAAACGCCGTAAAGAAAATTGTAGAAGTGGAGGGTTGTGCTCGCAAGTCCAGAATGTTCAGAAAGTGGGCCGAATGTGATTTTGAGCAGCACCAAGTATGGAAAGTTGAAGTCTTCAAATCTATTTGACGAAGCTACCAGCTCCATCTTGCTGGATGTCACATTGCTGATCATCCAGTGGGGGAACACAACGAATTTCAAGTCTGCCATGATGAAGATCATAAAAAGATATTAGAAGGTTCGGCAAACTCATTCATTGAATTAAAAGCAACAATGCATTCTTTAAGAGGGTTAAAGTTTATATACTTGCCAATGCAGTGAGGGATATGAGACAGGTAGGAACCAAAATGCCACCGAATAGTGATTTTCAAGTAGCAGAGAAGTATGATTTGATAGCAACGATTATTTTTGTTTTCTTACTCTTTATTCCGCAGATTCAGGTTTTTTTTTTTACTTTGTTTTATAGTCTTCCCTCAAAATTTAACTAAATTCATCGTTCATACAACTTCAACCAACCAGAAAATCAATCTAAGATCTTCACAGACTGTTAATGATTCCATAAATCTTATTTAGTTTTTTTTTTATCACTGTGTTTATGATTTTATAAATCTCATTAAGTTTTATTTTTTTAACAATCCCTTAATTTTTGATTAATGTAACACTCTTTATTATTTTACAGATCCCTTCAAGTGCTGTCGAGATGCCCCCAGCGGACGGGTCTGTGAGCAGTAATATCAGTTTCCTGGATGTGCAATTCGGAGGGCTTGAATTCGGAACCAACGATACGTCCTTCGACAATTCCTTAGTCAATTCGACTGATCAGAACAAATACAGCTCCAACAATACTAGTCTCAATTCGTCTACCAGTGTGGTGACCTCTCTAGCCGAACTGTCGTTACAGAATTCCTCCAATGTTGCTCCTGTTTCAATTGATCCGTACGCAAACTTGTCCTCCGTCTCGTCCCAGCAGAAACCAACGCAGCCTTCCAGCGTCTCGTCGGTTTTGAATCAAGCATCTAAGGTATTAGCTAACATCATCTATAATGAATTGTTAAAAATCATATGGGCCAGTGACATGACATTTCTGCAGAGTATTCAACAGTTGTTCCCAACATAAAATTTCACGGGGAAAAAAACCTCACAAAGGCCATTAAAAAGTTTCATTAAGCATTTCTGAAGAGAGGAAAAGCTTTTTTAAATCAGACTAATGAGAGGTGAAGAGTTGTGATGATGGAACTAAGCCACGTCTCCTACCGTGCTTCAGCCAATCAGGAAACGCTGACTATCTTGCCTGGCAACATCACAACAGACCACCAAAAATGTCAGTCCAAATGGGTCCAGATTCTGGCGGCTTTGAATTGATTTTTTCAGTCAGTTTAGTGAAAAGAATCAGAATAAATTGTTGGACGCTCAAACTTTCAGAAAATGAATTAATGAAAATGAATAGGTGCCATGTACCTGTTATCTTATTTTAGCAGAGATTCTAGAATGGTACGTGATCTAAAACAGGAGAATCTCTATTTTGGACTGCTGCAGGAAGCCTCAGCAATTCGGACTCTGACATTATAGCGAGCAATATAATTCACATCTTTGTCAAATTTTTTAATTCAGTGTGAAAAATTCGATGTAGAGGACTGCTTGAGGAAAACTTTTGTTCCTTGGTGAAATGTCTCCGTTTCCAAGACATTTAGACATTTAGGGCATTTGGAAATTTTTCAGTCAGGAAAATCTAATGACAATCAGAGAATTGGGAAATGGCAATATTATGAAAATCCAACCTACCTATAGATATGCTCAGTATCACTTGAATGCATTTTTTTATTGTGCTAAAAGCATTGAATAATGCATCCTTTTATATTCTCAGATCCCTTCCTCTTCGTAAAGTGAATTAAGATGTATATTCCTCTTTAATATTTTGTGATGCCCGAGTTTTCAACTTTACACCGTTGTTTATTTAGGAGGGTATGGATTCGATTGACATGAATCGATCGAAAAATGAAAACGTGAATTGATTGACATGAATCCATCGACACCGATTCGATCGACAAATTGTTAAAAAACCGGTGTCGATTCGATCGACATGAATGGATCGAAAAATGAAAACGTGAATTGATCAACACCGATTCGATCGACAAAATTCGATCGACTCCCGGGTTTATCGATCGACTCACGGATTTGTCCATCGATTCACGGGTTTGTCGATCAATTCACGGGTTTGTCGATCCATTCATGAGTTTGTCGACAGAGTCACGGGTTTGTCGATGGACTCACGGGTTTGTTGATGGACTCATGGGTTTGTTGATGGACTCACGGGTTTGTTGATTGATTCACGGTTGTCAATCGAATCAGTGTCAATCGATTCATGTTGATCGATTCACGTTTTCTTTTTTCGATCCATTCATGTTGATCGAATCGACACCGGTTTTTTTAAATTAACTGTCGATCGAACTGGTGTCGATCAATTCATGTCGATTGATTCACGTTTTCATCTTTTGATCGATTCATGTCGATTGAATCGACACCGGTTTTTCCACAATTTGTCGATCGAATCGGTGTCGATCGAATACATACCCTTCGTTTATTTATTTCCTTGTTTATTTATTTTTTTTGTTTTTTTTTTGCAGGCCCTGGGTAACGACTCACTCCTCCAGTCCTCCAATGATAAACAGTCTGGTTCCACAATGGGCAGCTATTCTTCCGGGTCAGCATCTCAGAGCGTTCGTTCAACGTCAACAGCTTTGCAAGACCTTGCCGCCAAAGCCGCAGCGAACACCGCAAGTGTCGGGGCCAGTGAAGTCCCGTCCCTATCATCGTATGGAGTTCCAGACCCTCCTGCTTCATACAATCAACAGTCTTCGGCCACATCAGTATACCCAAAACCAAATTCATCCGTGTCGTCGTATCATCAGCCGTCCCAGTCTCTAGGTTCTTCTTACAATGCTTCTAGTTATTCTAATCCTTCTCAGGTAAGCTCTCTTTCTATTTTTCTCGCAAGCCTAAGTTATTTGCCAGTAAATAATTTAATTTTAAGAAAACGTGAGACACTTATTAAAAAGCTTTAAAATCACAACCTTAATATCTTTTGTAGAGATAGTCAACTTCAGGTGGGATTTTTTAAAGGAGTTGAATATGTGTCATGTGTTGCAGCACAGCGCAATGCTGCTGTGCTAAGGAAAAACTCGGTATAAGCCTCCAGGCTCTGCCAAATTTCTTTGATATAGTATGATGAATTTATTGGAAAAGATCATGTATTTTTTTTCTAATATTTAGGAAATTTTGTTCACAATTGAATCTAAAATATCTGAAGATTTTAAGAAAAAATATACATAATCTTTTTCCAAAATAAACGTTTTATTGGGGGGGGGGGAGGATTGGGCAACATTCTAATGTTCGTACGGCGCTTTTCCTCAGCACGTAAGAATGGACCACTAGACAAGGTAGGAATTTCTTCATTCTGGTACACATTTTCCACTTCAAAATTCTACAAAAAACTCAATTTGCACAAGGAAAATTAATGACATTAATTCCCAACCAAGATTAGCATTTTCATTAATCAATTTTAAATTTCCTGCTCACATGATAAACCAGAATGTGCTTGATTCAATTCACACTAAAATAGCTTTTGGCAGGATTCTCAATAACCAGTGTTCCTTCCTCATCCTGCTTTTCCAAAGTGCAAACAACTTGCAAGAGCGCAGCCAAAGTGCAGATATTGAGGCTGTCATATTTACGCCAATGTAAAGTGCGTAATTTGAGTTAAGTAGATTACAGTTTTCTTTTATGAGCAGATAGTTTGAATTTATGCACTGAAAATTGTTAATATCTTTATTGGGAGTTATTTTCAGTAATTTTTTTTGTACAAATCGGGTTTTTAGTGAAATTTCAATGAGACATCATGTAGGTATTATAATGCTTAGATTCTTACCTTGTCCAGTGGTTCATTGAGAATGATGGGTCGCCAGCCCAAAACACGTTTACGAAGTAAATTAAAATTATCGTCACCAGTGAGTGATACATTTTTAAAATCATTGTCTTAAATGAGTAAAACATTTTTTAAACCTTTGTTAAAATTTAATGAAAAATATTGAAACAGAAAGTCACTTTCAAAATTCCGAACAAACGAGTAGTCTTGATATTTATTTTGCTATATTTTACCGAAAGGTCAATTAGTAAAAAAATCACATCTGTTTGAAGAAAGATTACAATATCGTTTGAATTCATAGATTATCATTTTTCAAAGGCATATTAGCAAACCCCTACCATAAATTCTGCTAAGCCAAAATTTGTTGTATCTTCTCTCCCTATTTCGTGTTTTCAAAATTTTTCACAAATAGCTCAAAGGCAAAACATAAGGGCAAATGTCAATGTCAGTTAGTAGTTGTCTTTGTAATAGTCAGGAACTTAGTTTTTAAGTCACTTTTACTTCCAAAATCCATAATTCTTATTATTGTTTGCAGGTCACATCTTCAAGTATTGCGTACTCATCAGGAGGTAATCAGTCGCAAGGCAGCTCTTACACCCCTGTAACAAATAGTAGTTACAATAGTCAACAATCATCCTACACTTCTAATTCGTCGTCGTACCAGCCGTCTAGTAACTACTCTACTTATCCATCTTATCCTAATTCGCAAACTTACCAAGTAAGTCCTTTTTGAAATTAAAGATAAAATCTTAGGTCAATCAGCTTTCGATTTTGGGTTAAAGGAGAGATATTCATGAAAATGGATTTCAAACCACCTCAAAATCCAGCAGATTATCCACTTTTTTTTCTTAGTTTTTGTTTGTATTTTTTACGATGTCTCAGTGAAAAACTTCGCAGTTAAAAGGGATGTTTAGAGACAGCTTGTGAAAGGAATTACAAGTGTTTTTCTAGGAAAAGAGGAAGTAAAATTGACCATCAGCTTTGTGTCTCAGAGGTCCTTTTTGAAGAAAATATTGGGGCTGTGCGAAGATTCGAAAATCTCGAATATTCGAGTTTGAATAATTTTTCCGATATTCGATTCGAACTCGAACTTAGAAACCTCGAATAATCAAATTATTCGAGAACATTGACAAAACTTCGAATATCTAAAGAAAAAGATCGAATACTTGTCCATTCAGCCATATTGATGACATACTAGAAAGAACTCGAACAGGCGCGCAGTTCAAACTACTTATTTTGAGGTCAGGTAAACAAAGGCCAACGTTTCATTGGTTCATTCAGCGCACGGCCCTCGCGGACTCGCATTATTAGATGGGTCAATTCAAAATTCGCGCCATTTTAGTTCCACCGAATACTTCATCAACATGGCGTACAAATGGGTGAATGTACTGATCTCCATAACCTATCCTCCTCCGCCTCGCGTGGCACCCTGGTCTTTACAATGTTGCTGGACTATTTTTGCAAGATCAGCATTGATGTGCAGTAAAACAGAATAAAACGGATTTTCGGACAGTAAGCAGCAGTTTTTGCGACAGTTCTATCCATTGCTTGTTCTTAATTAAAGGAAAAAATTTTCTCTCCCTTCTATTCTTTCCCCAGCAAATCAAAATGTGTGCAAAACCATTTGATAATGAAGTAAATTGATTAATTCTTGATCCTTTTATCTATAATAGTAATTTCTTTTTTCAAAATTTGAATTTTAGAAAGAAAAAAAATTATTTATTTGATTTTTACTTCGACCAACACAGAGGTTGGTTTTGGTAAAAAATAGATAAAAACTAAAAATATTCAATTCAAATCAAATTCGAAACTTTTTCAAAATATTCGATTCGACATCAAAAAAACCACATTCGCACAGCCCTAGAAAATATAATGGATTTAAAATCACTCGCCTTTAAGTAGAGAAGTTTTTTCCCTTCTTAGGCTCAGAGGTGGTGTATAACCAGTTTCACACATTGATGGTGAAACAACAGAAATGCATATCTTAGTTTGCGGTGTTGCAGACTTCCTGTTATACTTTATTTTTGACATGGAAAATCATTCAACATAATTTCTTGAAAGCTTTGGTGATACATATTTCTTTTCTACGTGAAGAATATTCTGTGAAAATTTCAAACCAAGATATTGGTTCAGTCTGCTTTGCATTAAAAATAAAATAGGATTGGATATTTTGAGACACTACAACTGAAATACGCATTTTTGCAGTTTCAATGTTGATATTTTATTTAACAAGGTATCCGTACCAAGATTTCTCAAGTGGATTATTCGCTATCCACAAGAGGCATAGTGTAAAATCTGAATTGGACAGCTAAAAATGACGACTAATGTTGAATTTCTCCTTGAGAACTTTGTTTGGACCTCCTTTTAATTGCCAACTAGAGTACTTTTTAGCAGAAACCAAATATTTTTTTGAAGTTCCTTTTTTAACTGTGAAGCATATGAAAATCAATGGACCTTGGGAGGGAACTGATCTTGATCCTTATCAATTTCCTCTTTCTAATTTTGTTACTGCAGCATTTTGAATCAAAGAATTTGGTAGGCCACAGTTAATGAAGTGCACTATTGAAGAGGTTAAACATGTATTGACAGGCGATTTTTAAATTTGCTGTTTTTGCATCAGGATTTTCAAGACCTTTAATGAGAGTAGTTTTTTTTCTACCTATCTGGAATAATTGTCAAAAGATGCACTTCTCAGACCATTTCCACCAATATTTAATTTGAACATTATGGTTAAGTAAAATTTTTGTGATATTGAAAAATGGTATCCATAAAATTTAAAGGTGGATTTCAGCTAATGGGAGAAAATGGTTCTGAAAAAAAGTTAAAAAGTGATTTAGCCATATCAAGCTATAAACTACTTTTCTGTTATCTTAGAGCTCCATACCATAGGATTTGATTACGTGAATTGCAATATCTTTTCGATTATTTCTCTTCACCAATCCTGACATATCAGATTGGTTTGGACATGTCAGGTTTGGTGACGTCACCAAACTGACATTTTGCTGTTATTAATTTTTTCTGCCAGTTTACAGCAACAAAATCAAACGAATCATTGAGGTTAGGTTGAGAGGCCACCTGTAGATGTAAGAAAAAAATATTTGCTCACATATTCTTTGCATATTCCACCAAAAGTTTTGATGGAAACAGCGTCACCAAACTGACATTGAATAAGTGAGACACTCCAAAAACCATGGAAAAAACTGACATTATGCTGAAATTAGAAGAAATATGTGGACTTATCAAGTGCACGTCTGTTTGTTCTCCTTTTCCGCACTCAGTCATGCCTTAATCCGCACACCAGCGCAATCTCTTGAGTGGCCACAAACTAAAACGCATAGCATCACCAAACTGACATAATATTGAGTTACACGCTTCAAGTCTCAAATTAAATTGAATAATATAGTTTTCTGGTGTTTCAATGGATATTATATCAAACAATATACATTGAAGACTTAAAAAAAAAATTAGACAAAGCTCGCAAAAGGTCCTGGTTTATTTATATAACGATTTGATACATTGGTTACCTCCAAGTTACATGTCACAAAACTGACATTTTCACTGTTTAGCACGTTGAAAAAAAGGTTTAGAGTAATTCAAATCTTCTGAGAAATTTTTTTGTGGTTGGTGTGACCTGCTTCTACGCCAAAAACCAAACATCGAAAGAAAATATTATAATTGAAAGTTTTGAGCAACCAGTTACACGTCTTTCCCATATTTTCTCCCATCAGCTGAAATCCACCCTTAAGCTTAAACATTGAGTAAAAAATGTACCCTGTTGTTAGAATTTGTCATGAAATACATTTATTGCGAAGGGATTTTACAGGAAACCACTACATCTACACAGATTGTCCAGAAAGTGTTAGGTTTGGCGCTGTTATGTAAAAACTTTTAAAGCGCTAGACCTGATCTTAGTTTTATCAGAAAGATCAAGTGGATTTTCATCATTCCAGACAAGACCATCTTATTTGATTATGAATTCACAAGTTTTAGGGAATTATCATAGAAAAAAATTTGGACCTCCTGAAGGTTTCTAGTTAATATTTTCTCTGGCCAAAGCATCTTGAAAAAGTTCACAGGCAAAGAAAGTGCTTCGCAGTCAAAACTTTGAAGAGAAAAAATAAAAGAAGCTCTGAAATACTTTACGTCAATGGGACAAGGAGATTTTAAGAATACCCCTATATTCAAATGACGGAATGTGCTAGGCTTAATTTTACTTTAATTTACGTTGTAAAATACAAGGGAGATCTAGGGGACTTAGAGGAAAATGAGAACTCAGCTTGAACATGGTCTTTTCAGCGTTAGATGAACAGTCACTAAAAACCGCACGGGAACCAACTTTTTCCCCTAAAATCTGGCATAATTCCATTAATTTTTTTTTCTCTCTTTAAATTGATCGTCCTACTCAGTAGTAACACACTTGATCTTTTGAATGAAGTCAAGATCAGGTCCAAAGTATAATTAGTTTTGCTCTTGTAGATTGTATCTCTACTTTTCTGCCACTTAAGTTATTTTAACAATTTCTCTTTGTTTTACAGAATAACTCAGGCAGTCAATCTGGCGGAGGATATCAGAACCAGTCCTCATACAATAGTGGTAACTCTTCAAGTTTAACTGGGAACTCAAGTAGCTACGGTGGATCATACCCTACAACTTACAATAGTAGCTCATCTGCATCCCAGCAAAACCATAAGATCTCATCCTCTTCCCTAACTTCCTCATCCGCTTCTAAAGAATCTCAGGTCAAAGTAAGTGTAAATTTTCTCTTCAACTTTTTCTTACAATTTACTACTCCTTGATTTCAGTGATTTTTTTTGTCTATGGCTTCGAAAGGACATGTAATTTTTAGTAGTTTTAAAACCTTACGTTTGCCTGTAATCTCATTGACTTGAAGTTTTTGAGCTACAGTGTAAAGTTGGTGATAAAATTTATCAAAAAAATTATTATAAAATATTGTATAATTAGAAACGCCTGCCAAAGCACAGGGAAAGTTTAATTCAAAATGAGGATGATTTTCACCCTCATACTTAACAGAGGAAAGATTTTACCTCTTTGAAGATGTTGCCATTCTTTGAGTGTATTCAACGCAATGGTTTTTTTAATGGGCCTGTTGCAAGGTGCGGGGATTTGCAAATTGATGCCTGATTCCTATGGCAAATTTCACGAAAAGAACGACGGCGCTACTAAAAAAACTTGAAATGACCTCTCAAACTCAAAATAAGCTGTTTTTGGAACCGACCCATTTTGACGTCTTTTTGATGCGGTAACGGATCCGCCATACTTGTGACGTTAAATGGTTCGACAGACCTGGTCTTACAATGTATTTTCCCTTACGGAATTGGCAGCCACTTTTTAAATGCAAATATCAAGTCAATCTATGATTTTTTGAACTAAATGGAATTCAGAAATGGATTCCTCGTATGTTTAAATGGTTAGAACCTTCATCAGATAAATAACCGGACAGGACAGGATAAACCTTATTTTTAAGGAAGACTGTATTCAATGGGTGTTTGTTTACATCTGCTTAGTGATAACAGACATGGACATTAGCTCAATATTTAGCCATTTTCGTGAGTTTTTACTTTTTTGTCACTATATGGAGGTAAGTTTCATTTGTAAATCAATTGATTAGTGCCTTAGGGTCATGCTGTAACACTACACATTGTTACTTATTAATTCAGAACACTTTCCGGCAGTCCAACGCCCAAACCTGGATGTTGCGAGTCAGTTGTTATTTCTTAATATTTCACCCTTCAATGTTTCACTGAAGACACCAAAATGATAGTATCAATCATTGATTGTAAAAAAAACTTACCTTTGACAATGCTGATGAGATGAGCAGACCGGTATGTTTTAGATGGAGGCAAGGAAAGTAGACGTAGAATCCTTGTGCGGTTACCAGACTTATCGATAAATTTTTCTGTATAGTGTTACATTAAAAACACACAGGATTCTAAAATAACATAAGTTTATAAAACGTGGAAACGTTCTGAATGATATTGAGATGCTTGTTGAAGAGTTAAGAATGATCTACACGCATTGAGAGAACATCCTTGGTTTGAGCATTGGGCTGCCGGAGTGTGTTCTGAATTAATAAGTAACAGTGTGCACCGTTACAGCTTTTAGCATGATCCTAAGGCACTAAACAATTGATTTACAAATGAAACTTACCTCCAAATAGTGACAAAAAAGTAAAAACTCATGAAATGGCTAAATATTGAGCTAATGTCCATGCACCTGTTATCACTAAGCAGATACAAACAATCGCCCATTGAATACAGTCTTCCTTAAAAATAGTGTTTATCCTGTCGGTTCTTATTTATCTAATGAAGGTTCTAATCATTTAAATGTGCGAGGAATCCATTTCTGAATTCCATTTTGTTAAAAAAATCATAGAAATTGACTTGATATTTGCATTTGAAAAGCGGCTGCCAATTCCTTATGGAAAAATACATTGTAAGTGATGAAAAGACCAGGTTTGTCGAACCATTTCACGTCACAAGTATGGCGGATCCGTTACCGCGTCAAAAAGACCGTTTTGAAAATCCGAATTTTGAGGCGTTTTTAAGTTGATTTTTTGGGGGTTTCCGGTGATCGAACAACTCCTGGAAAATTCCTGTGACATCAAGAGCCTTAGTTCTTTTGATTAAAGCAATAAAAAAAAATTGGTGCAACAGGCCCATTACATATTATCTCGATATACTTCCAAAGCACTAAGTCTCGCTTAAAAACTGAGATGCCTGCTGTGGTGCCAAATTCTAGATTTTTTTTCGAACAAACAGCAACCTTGGAAAATAACAAATTGCAACGAATGGCTTTAAGAATCAGTGCTTTTGAGAATCAAAGTCTTGTCCTGACCTCACAACAGATCAGTCGATGTCTGGTCAGGTTAACACCCCGTAGCAATGATTCCAAACCCCAGGATAGCCTGTTTTCTCAATAAGCTTTACCCTCAGATCAGAATTTAGAAGAATGAAAAAAAGAAAATTGCGAGTCATTAGCGTAAGTGATTGCTGCTTTAATTTTTCTCCCCCAGAAAATTGCCTGTGGCAAACCATGGAAATCCATTTTGCTTGAATTTATTTTTTTAGGTGTTTTGATATCACTCATGTTTTCTAGACCAGATATCCCATAAGGAAATTGTTTTGAAAATATCCCACCTCATATAGGTTTTATTAACTTGATTTTATCTTTTTTCAGTACGACACTGGCAGCACTGCTATTACAACAGCTGCCCCAGCTCTATCCTCCTTATCTCAAACTACTATTTCTTCAACGAAAGCTTCCTCCACTTCAACTGGTAAGTTTTCCAAACCAATCGTATCGTTTAAATATCCCGAATGGCAGGTAGAATTAAATTTTACTATCATGTGTCTATTGATCAAATCGGTACGAAGTGAGAATTCTGACATCATCATAATTAAAATTTCTGATCATGGCAGCTTTTTCATAAAAGGATTAAGTATTTTGACTTGAAAATCTGAATCTATACTTATCAAGTAAAAGCCAACCTCCGCTATGTATGATTTTCTGCAAGCATCAAGACAGTGTAGACCACAAGTCTGAAAAACTAGAAACTGGCAGGAAATTTCATCAGACCAGAAAAATCAGGGAAAAGCCAAGGAAGTCTATAATCAAGACTAGAAATTTGAAAATATTGAACAAATCTGGAAAAATTTCAGTGCTAAGCATAATCAAACTGAGTCTTTCTGTGGTTTGGGGTTCAATGCGTTGAGTTACACTAAATAGTGAAGAAGAGGAACGATCTCCAGTGAAGAATTGAAATGTTAGTCAGTTTTGAATAATTGAATCGATAGAGTTCACAGGTTTTTGTCATTTGTCTAAAATTAGCGCCAAACATTTTTAATTTTCAGTTTGATAGGTAAAAATTGTTGATGTGAAATGTGAGGAAACTTTAATTATATTGGTCAGGAAAACCTAGAAAGGTCTGGGAATTTTCTCCTGCCAAGCCTGTAGACAACATGTAGGAGTAGAACTCAAGTTATACAAAGGCTGTTCAAAAAGTACGTAGACTGAAGCTGTAACTTAAAAACCAATGTATGTAGATAGCTGTTCTTGGTCTCATTTTAAAGATCAACTCATTATCTATCGATTGAAATCAAGATCAACTCATTTAGTCAAAAATTGAGAAAGTTATGCAAGTTTAAACTTTGAAAGTAGGTTTTACCCCTATGGTTTTTATTGAAAATTTTCGCTTGCCAAAAGTTGTCACTTGAAATACGTTTTGATACATCATTTTAGCAGAAACACTTGGCAACCATGAATAGCACACTGTGTAAATACTTTTCCGTAATTGTCGACCGACTAGGGTACATACGGGTCCAAAGGGCAAGAAGCCCGATCGGCTAGACTTACCCCCGTAAACTTGAGAAGTTTCCTCAGTCGGTGACAAGTCACAGGTGCGCCTGGGTTTATCGCAGTCTCTTAGTGATTTTTGTTGCATTTTGCTCTAATTTTTATGCGGTCGATTTGGAAAAAGATAAGGAAGTTGAAAAAGAACAACACTTTGTCATTCGTTATTGTGTTCGACGTGGATTATCAGCAACGGACATGCTGAATGAGATGAAAAACGTTTACGGAGATGAGTGTTGGTGTCGGGCCGCAATTTTCCGTTGGCATAAAAAAATTGAAGATGGTCGGAAGTCTGCTAAAGTTCTCCCAAAGTCTGGTCGGCCTTTGAAAAGTGTTTACACAGTGTGCTTTTCATGGTTGCCAAGTGTTTCTGCTAAAATGATGTATCAAAACGTATTTCAAGTGACAACTTTTGGCAAGCGAAAATTTTCAATAAAAACCATAGGGGTAAAACCTACTTTCAAAGTTTAAACTAGCATAACTTTCTCAATTTTTGACCAAATGAGTTGATCTTGGTCTCAATCGATAGAAAATGAGTTGATCTTTAAAATGAAACCAAGAACAGCTATCTACATACATTGGTTTTTAAGTTACAGCTTCAGTCTACATACTTTTTGAACAGCCTTTGTATTTTAAGAAGGGGCACCTACTTCTATTTAGTGTAATGAAAATAACAGGAGTGAAGTGTCAGATCCTGTTTCATGCGGTTGTATGAAGAGAGATTGATAAATCGAAAATTTTTTACTCCTGTAGAAGCATTCAGTAAAATGAAAATTGTGTGGTGAAAATGAGTGAAAATCATTCCCTTTTTTTTTCTTTTTGCAGGTGCTAAAAGTGGGATCGTCCCTAGTCTCCCGCCTGGTGTACCACCTCAGATGGTGGGCACGCCGTACACTATCATGAGTCAAGGCAATGTTCCTGCGTATTTCCAACAACCCATATACAGTTACGAAGATCTTCACATGATTCCTCAAAGACTGCCGGCAGTGCCTACCGGGTACTATGATATCTCCGCCACGAGCTACCCGGCTCCCACTAGTCTAGCTGCAGGCCGCGAAGGAATACCAAATGTAGCATATTCCATGTCGGATGCCAGGTTTACGAGGACAGACAATAATGCCTCCCCAGTTTCCTCCACGATTAGTCAACAAAATGCTTCGCAAGCGCATCAGCAGCCGTTGATGAACCCAGCTTTCCAGCCGAGCTATGCAACATATTATATCAGTCCTAACTTCGTGCAACCAAATTTGTATGGACCACCTGGAGCTCTGTATCCCGTAAGTGAATATTGATTCAGTTTTTATTATAAACTCTGCTTTCACTGCTTTGATTTTAACCCATTGACTGATTAATTAATTTTGGGTTTACACGCCCAGAATGAGTATTTGATTTTTGCCCTGATTTGCTAATTTCACATTTACCCTATAAAATCAGATTTTTGGGGCTTGTAGAGCCACTAACTCAAAAAAATTTAATTGGTTACTTATTACTGGAGAGAGAGAGACACACAATAGCCCGAATGCAGACAACAATAAAAACACACTAAAATACAAATAAACAGATGGGTATAGAAGGCTAGAGGAGAAGTCTCCTCTAGCCTTGTATACCCATTTGTTTTTTGTATTTTAGTGTGTTTTTATTGTCTTACTACTAGACTATAAAGAGAGAAAAATTGCGTGGTTGATGAATATGACTTCCATTTTTATACATCTGTGTTGTTGAAGTCTGTGAGGAAAAATTGAAAAAAAAACACGTGGAAAATTAGGGAAAATCATGTATTTTTGACAAAAAACAGCATGCAACAAGAGAAAAGGGTTTGCAAACCCAAGAGGAAACACAGATTACTTATATTATAAGATAGAGTGCAAAAAATAAAGCAGCAACCAGTGCAAAACAAATAAAATAGAAAGCGTAAACTCAAAGAAAAACTACAAAATTCCAAGCAAAAATAAAAATGAGGGTTTTTTTCTAAACTTGAAATTTATCGTATAATTGGAGAAATAATGGACCAGATCGGGAAAATATGGGAACGTTTTGTCACTGTGTTCACATGAGTCGATATATGTGGCGCTCTCTATCGGGAGACATCCAAAACAACGCAAATAATGTTGCCAAGTCTCAGGACGAGTGGGACTCGTCGCTTCAGATCCGGCCCGGCGCAGCGCGGACAAGTCCCACTCGTTGCTTTCAGTCAATGGGTTAGTGTAGTTATTTTGATTATTGACGAGAAGTTTTTTGAAGAAAGAGCCCATACTGAATAATGTGGTTTTGAGAAAAACGTGCTACAAGATTTCAATATTTCTTTTGAGATGCTGAGAGGAACTTTAGTAGAAATCTCATTTTATTAATAAAAGTTCGACAAATCCATGATGTAAGTTAAGTCGGGTTGTTGTGATAACAGTAGAATTGCAACTTTTTCTGCTGAATTTTTTATTATGAATCACGTCAGCTATTTCATTTACATTTCTTGTCAATTTAGTTCTCTATCTCAGGAATTAATTGTAGTTCCATGTTGATAAAATTTACAATATATTTTATTCTTCGTTGTTTTCCACCAGTCAAGCGTTCAGATTGTGTTTCAATACAGATTTCTCGATTTTACATCCACATTTATTGCTTCTTTTGTCTTAGATAACGCCAACAGCTGCATCAGCGGGAGGTCATAGCGCAGGAACAAGTGGCCAGTACGGCAAAGGACCTGGTGCATATGGTACTGCTGCTGGTTATGGAACTGGTTATGATGCGAACGGATTGAGCGGTCAGACCGGTAGTGATTACAAAGGCAGTGGAGTCTATGCCAATTCCCAGTCGCAGAGTGGAAAAGGTGTAGCAACGACAAATAATCCCACCCAAACAACCTCAGCAACAGCGTCAGATCTAGGAACCGCGAACATGTATTCTAAGTCAGCGCATTCTACACTTGCCAAAGTAAATGTAAGTAATTACCCCCACTCTGAGTAATTCAGCATATTATTTCCCTAGTACTGTGATCACTGTGGCTATTTTTCACAAAAGTACTCTCTGTATAATAGGTGAGCAATAGACCAGAAAATTGTTCGATTTAGAGAAAGGAGGGGTTGCGATTTGGGCCGAAATGGGCCCCTCCACGGAATTGAATAATTTTTGGATATTTGGCAGTTGACGGTGCATATATGGCGGAAATAATCGAGTTTTGCCGATACTCACGTTTTTTGGCTGCAAAACAGGGGCCTAAACATGGCTGCGAAGGCAAAAATAGCTGAAATTTCGCATTTTTCGCAGTTCTACCTCAGATTTTGACCTGGGCTCAGAGGCGACGGGTGATGAGCTTGGAATATGATGTCTGGGACACCTAGACACATGACGTACTTGAATATGATCAACCGTTGCCTTTGGGCCCAACTTCAAAATCGAACTTTTCCAACTTTCCAACGAAGCAACTTTCTCTGATTTCCTGAGGCCATGATAGGCATTGTAGAGTTACATTTGGTGAAAGCTGCATTCAGTCAAAAAGAACCTATCTTGAAGTTCCTATCATCAGATATCACTCACCTGTGATAGTCATCAAATACAAACCTGTATGCTGTTTAATTACAGTGAGCTTTTCATAAAGGTAACATTACCAAGCACTGAAGAGCTCAAGCAAGCGATCAAAGAATCTGGAGTTGACAAGTTAACCTGTACGTGAAATAGTACAAAACTCAGTTTTCACAGTCATTCAAGCGACTTGTGACAGACAATATAGCAAGAAGATATGAATCCATTCTCTGTATTCGAAGGCAAGTTCTGGGCTCAGTCCAGAACCTGAATTGAGCGTTGGACAAACAGGACTTTTCAACTATTTCGGACTAAAAAGTTGGAAAAGTTTAATTTTGAAGTTGGGCCCAAAGGCGACGGTTGATCATATTCAAGTACGTTATGTGTCTAGGTGTCCCAGACATCATATTCCAAGCTCATCACCCGTCGCCTTTGGGCTCAGGTCGAAATCTGAGGTAGAACCGCGGAAAACATGAATTTTTAGCTATTTGGGGCTAAAAAGTTGGAAAAGTTCGATTTTGAGGTTGGGCCCAAAGGCGACGGTTGATCATTTTCATGTATATATTGTACGTGTTTAGGTGTCCTTGACACCATATTCCAAGCTCATCACCCGTCGCCTTTGAGCCCAGGTCAAAATCTGAGGCAGAACTGCGAAAAATGCGAAATTTCAGCTATTTTTGCCTTCGCAGCCACGTTTAGGCCCCTGTTTCGCAGCCAAAAAACGTGAGTATTGGCAAAACTCGATTACTTCTGTCAAATATGCACCGTCAACTGCCTTATATCCAAAAATTTCTCAATTCCGTGGAGGGACCGATTTCGGCCCAAATCGCAACCCCTGCTTTTCGTTATAAAGTGTGTCCATAGAAAGAAAGAGAAAGAGAGAGAGCTGTACTTCACCTGATTAGCAGCTCAAGCTTACAGCGGATTTTTTTGGAGAGAGCATCGCCATTGTAAGTTTTGTAAGTTGAACATTTCTTGTTGGAACTGCAATTGTTGATAATTTGGCTGTTTGCATAGTTGCAATGTCAATTCCCAATTTTTTGCATATGCAGTTGTCATTCTAAACAAGGATGCTAAATCAAAGAATATGAGTGACTGAACCTCATTTTTTTTAGTCGCAAGTACGGTAACCTAAATAAAACGTCAGTCCTTGCAAGAGCAAAAATAGAATACCTGCTTGTTCTAATTTTCCAGAATCTTAAGTATTCAATTGGCAATTTCAATTCAGGTTCTATTTTCATGAAAAGGCAGCAACGAAGCAGTATTTCGAATATTTGGAAGTTCTTTCAACATTTGTGGCGGCCTTTATTCAATTGTCAAGATGAAGAAATCTTGTTTATGGAGTCAGAAGGACAAGATTTTGATTGGTTTTTGATTACTCAAACCTTTTAACTCAAGGATTAGCATCTCAGTATTGTCTCATTTTAAATTTTTGCTGAATATATTTAAATCTGACGCTATTTTTGTTTTCAGTCCTACGACAAGCAAGGTTTTCACTCAGGAAACCCTCCACCGTTCCCGATGCCTGGCAATCAGTCTGCCGGAGCATATCAGCAAGTTTTCATCTCAGCGACCAACCCTATGGTGCAGTCAGCGCATGCTCTACATCTGAACCCAGCCAGACGTCCGGTAAGTGTATAGTATTCTTCATCAATGCCCTCCTCTAGACAGTAAACAAATTGAATTTTTTATCAAATTTCTTGCAAATTTGCAAATTCTTGAATTTTGAGTAATAACCTAAATGTCTCTGCATTTTTATCCTACTTTGGATATTTTGTTCGCCATTGAAAGGAAAATTGGTGTTTTTTTTTTATTGCCTCAAAAACCTCAAGTGTCAAATATTTTTGTATGTTTGACAGAAATGTTTACCCTTACTTATTGATGGCAGATGATGAAGCCATATATTTAGTAAATATCTTGAAGCTTGAAATTTTTCATTTTAAATGCTTTTACAAAGGCCCTAATTTGGTTGGAGCCATCATTTATTTTCATTTCAACCAGCTGAAGAAAGATTGTCAAGTAATGATTAAATAATCAGGGTAAAAATTTACGTCAAACATACAAAAATATTTGACACTTGAGGTTTTTGAGGCAATAAAAAAACACCAATTTTCCTCTCAATGGTGAACAAAATATCCAAATTAGGATAAAAATGCAGAGACATCACACGCAAGGCACTCAATATCGTGAAAGACACTTTTTGTTTAATGGGTCACGAGACGAGGTATAAAGTCGTGGAAAACAACGTATGTTTTCTCTTCAAAATCTTACATAGAACACAATTCACACAACAGGAAGTTTTTGAAGGAGATTTTAACAAGTTTTTTAAACACAGATCAAATGGAAGTTCTTCTATACAAATGACATCATTTGTATTCTTGCCATTTAACCATTGTTAACAGAAAATACATGTACCTTGTTCAGGAGTTGATTTTCAGTTTTCTCGTAGTGTGATTCCTTTTCCTCCTAAAATTTTGAAGAGAGAGCAGGTAGCGTTGTGCTCTAATCCATGCCTTGTTTAGAGGCCCATTGTTTTGACTGAGCTGAGCGGCATCTGAACATACCATAGAAGTTAAAAGTGAAGCCTTAAATGAAAATACTTTAGAGGAGGCCTGCTCCTAATTTAAATTAACAAGTGTATGTACATGTTGGTGATCCTTTATTTTTAATTGGATAGATCGATTGATGGATAATTATTTATTATTACTCTTTGTGGGTTTCACAAAAGAAGTTCAACAAATTTTTCAAAGAAATTGTTCATTTTTTAACAAACCAATATTTTCTATTCATTCATTCATTAAGTATAAAAGACCTAATTCTCCTAGCAGCATTTGAATTAGCGAGAACAAAAACACACCAACTCGAAAAATTGAAAGTAATGAAGACAGACACGAAACTGCACAGTAGGTGAAGAAGTTAGTCCAAGAAAAAGACTTTTGGTGCCAAAAGACAAGTTTTAAGGACATGTTACAGGTCCAAGTTGGAACAAATGCACTGACTTCATACCCTTTATAAAAATTGACTGACTTCAATGAAAATTGAGTATTTTCGAGTTATCAAGTTGGTGTGTTTTCAAACTCACTGATTTATTTAGGAAGTTGTAAACGTTTGTTACCGTGTTGCTGTCCTTGTTATACATAAGAAGGAGACTTAGATTTTCTGAGTGGTTCGATTTTTCTATACTGTTAAAATACAAGTTTCTAACGCTGCTGTACATTTGACTTTTATTATTTTTAAATATCTTATATTTGAATTCAAATTGCAGGACAGCAGCAATGTGGCCGGATCGCGAACGCCAGCCTCTGCGCAGCCGAATAAAACAGGTTCCAAACCAAGCTACAGCTCCTCCAACTTCTGGCCGCAGAACTGATACAAAGGAGTTCTCCTCAGCATGTTGGTTGACTAAAATGCCAAGGAAAGAGAATTATTTCGATATGAAAGAACTAAGAATTTTTGTACAATATTCTTTGACTGTGTCCCCGCTCCGTTTTTGTGTTTGATTATCGTCTGGATCCAGTCCACACCACACTCTCACTCTTTTCATTATTTTCCTATAAATGGTTGTTCAATCAGCACTTGTACATTTTTCTCTCATCGTGGGTAAGATATTTAAGAAGGCGAGAATGATTGAATAGCAACTAATTTGTGACATGTTAGTAACAATGTTTTACCGTTTGCATTGATTGTACTTACTGTTTTTTTTTTATTTTATTTTTCTCCGTTTTATTTTTCTTTTGGTTTTCTCCTAAACAGTCTCGATGTAAAAAGAAGGAAAGAAAGGAAATATTTTTTATCCCTTCCATCTTGTGTTTTTCTTTCTGGTAATGCCCACGTAATGCTTAATGTAATTAAGTTAGATTAAAGAAGCGTTCACCTTCAAGTTAGTTGAATTTTGCTCCCAATGATTATATTTTTATAGTAACCCCTGTCCTCTTTCAAAATTATTTTTTATTTCGGATGTTATCAGTATATGTATCTGTTTTTATACATATATAATTTTGATATGTACTATTTTCTGTTACCCAAATTTTTTGTTTTATCATTCGAAGAAGGAAACATGAAATAGGAGATGAAGAAGTGAATCCTTGTATTTAAAACAAAAATTTATTTGCTTACTAATACAAATGTAGGTTAGTCCCTTGTCCCATCTCTTTGGTTTGTAATATTTTCCCTTTTCTTTTCTATCTCTTATCTTTTAGTTTTATAATAATTTTATTGTTCAATTATTAGTTTTCAATTACTTTGTGTAATTATGAATATATATCCGGGATTTCGGTTTTTCTTTCAATTTTAAAAATAAAAAAAATTGGAGAAGATTTCCTCGATTATTGACTTGTTTCATTTTCTCTCTGTACTATGTGTACTAAATATATACATAACTAGCCTGGATGAAGGCCGGAAATGTGGTTGCCTTTTACTCTTGTAATCATCAAACTTTCATACAGAGTAAAAGACAAGCCTGTATGATAATTTTATCTTTCGATAGAATATTCAGATCGTACTTAGCAGAAAGGAACCAGAGTGTTTTCAGTGTTGTAAAAATGTTGCCTGTTCATAATTATCAAAAAATATCTCAGAATAGCAAATACTTTTGTGGCTTCCTTCCTAAAAATTGTTAATCCAGAAGGGAAAATGATTGTGTAAATTTTAATACTGTACATTCATTAAGTATTTCTATAAGAAAAGGAAAGTTTTTCAATTTTGAAAACACTGTAATTGCACTGGTTCCTTTTTGCTGAATGTGATCCATTTTTTCATAAAAAGAGGGAATGTTAAAGATAATAACTTTTGTCTTGAAAAGTCTGCACATTTTCTGTTTGACCTCTGTTATCAGTTTGAGTTCAAGTATTACATCAGAGCATAAGTTGAACAATTCCCATCTTTTTCATTCATAATTTTGTCCAACAAACAGAAATATATCTTTGTAATAATGCCGTTTTTGTAGCAAATAAACAAAGAGGATGCATATCTCATGGTAATTTAAATCCAGGGGGGGATCTGAGTTTTACTCTCTAGAAAAAAAAAACTTTTCTCTCACTTGTTTTTTTTTTTTTTTTGTTTTTTTAACATAGACAAATAAAAATATTATGATGAGCTCTTATTATCAAATTCAAGCACAAGAAAATAGAAGTAAAAAGGAGGGAGCAAAAAAGTGCCTTTTTCTTAACTGACCCGATAAAAAAAACCCCACTTTTCAAGTAACTATTTGCCCAAGCCGCAAACCAGCAGGCTCAAGGAGCTTTTTAGGCCAGAAAATAGGACTCCTCAGGACAAGCTTAACTTGATTTCAGCCCGATCGGAGACGCCTCGATTATGACCCAGAAAAACGCCTAGGTATCAATTCCTCTTGACTTCCGATAAAATAAAGAATGAATAAAACTTAAATTTCGATTTTGAACCAGAAATTTTACTCCATCCAGAGCATTACCGACGGAAAAATCGGACTCAGCGGCTAATTTGCAAGGGGACTAGCTCGGTTTCAGCCCGATCAGAGAACTTTCGATTTTGACCCCGAAAAAGTCCATATCATCCCGATCGATTTTTCTAGATTTTGGTCGGGGAAAAAAAAATTAGGATTCTGGTCGAATCCTCGTGTCATCGCGCCTTCAATTTTTAAGATACTACACGGACATCCATCAAGTACGAATAGTTGTATCACTGCGCCGCGCCGTCACCATCGCGCACATATTCGCTCGCTCTTTTTCCATGTTTTGTAGGTTCCGTAAATCTTATTCGGAGTAATACTTAGAGGGCTATGTGAGCAACTCAGCGGATAATTGAAGGGACATAAACAAGCCTAGGTTTTTAAATTTCCTGGAATCCAAGTGATACCTAATTGCCAACATGATGCGAATCTTTGCAAGTACACGGCTCGTGCCATCGCGCCTTCCATTTTGCAGATACCACACGGACATCCATCAAGTACGAATAGTTGTATCTCTGCGCCGTCAACCTTCGCGCATATATTCTCTCGCTCTTTTTTCATGTTTTGTAGGTTCCGTAAATCTTATTCGGAGTAATACTTCGAGGGCTAAGTGAGCAACACAGCAGCGCACGGTTCGTTTCAGAGGGAGGTAAATAAAATAGTGTTGCCCACTCAAAATTCCTTCGGGATCTTGAAGTAGGATGCATACACAGTCATTTAAGCCTAAAATGAAAATATTCTGTCGAGCTCTTCGAAAATAAAATCGATTTTTGTGTTTTTGGCGCTAAAATGGCCTTCAAAAACGATCAATGATTCAATTCCGATGGGTTGTGCATATGCAAAATGGTACATGTATGATGAAATCTACGTATTTTTGGGCCAGGAATCGATTGAGCAGGGTCCCGAATCGGTCTGAAGCTTCATTGACCGAAAAATGGGCCTTTCTTGGGATTTTAGGGATGTTTTGGGCCCATTTTTTCCCAATTTTGCAGTCGTGAGAAAATCTGTGCCGTCATGGGTATTGATTATTAGGTAATTTCGGGCGAGAAATCGAATGCGCTTGGTCACGAGCCAATCCGGGGCTTCCTAATCCAAGAATACGCAGTAGGCCCAGGTGGAGCTCCGGAAGAGCTTTGAAAATATTTTTTGTCTTTTATGTTCAAACTGGATGCTGAAATTGGCCTTTCTTTGACTTTAAAATGAGACTCCTGAATAAGTAAGTTGTGGTTTATGTATGAGGAATATTTCTTTTTCATGATACTTGGACAAATTTTCCAAATACATATTTCTCTGATCATGAGATCTAGTTCAATTTCTAGTGCTGCAACGTAACAAATCAATATCAATCACGAGATATCCAAAGGAATACATCCACCAGCGGTATCAGCGGTATTCCTATCAATAATTTTTATTTCGACCGAGAAAATATGGCGTACACATCAATTTCTCTTTTTCAAAGACCTTCTGACGAGAAATCGTATGCGCTTTATGAAGAGACGGTATAAATTTGGACTCGAAAAATGAACTCCTCTTGTGGATTTATAATATTTATATATGCAGAATAACTATTTTCCTTCCTTTTTCGGTCAAACAAATAATCTTAACCCAACCAAGCCGAGAAAAATGTTTCGGCCTAAGAAGCCCCGGAGTGACTCGGGACCAAGCGCATTCGATTTCTCGCCGGAAATTACCTAATAATCAATACCCATGACGGCACAGGTTTTCTCACGTCAAAATTGGGAAAACATGGGCCCAAAATATCCCTAAAATCCCCAAAAAGGCCCATTTTTTGGTCAATGAAGCTTCAGACCGATTCGGGACCCTGCTCAATCGATTCCTGGTCCAAAAATACGTAGATTGCATCATACATGTACCATTTTGCATATGCACAACCCATCGGAATTGAATCATTGATCGTTTTTGAAGGCCATTTTAGCGCCAAAAACACAAAAATCGATTTTATTTTCGAAGAGCTCGACAGAATATTTTCATTTTAGGCTTAAATGACTGTGTCTGCATCCTACTTCAAGATCCCGAAGGAATTTTGAGTGGGCAACACTATTTTATTTACCTCCCTCTGAAACGAACCGTGAGCGGATGATTCAAGGGACATAAACAAGCCAAGGTTTTTAAAGGAGGAGTATCGTTTTGGGCCTTTTCCGGCCCCACCTGGATTTTGCTGAATGTTTCATATTATCAAATTACTAGTCCTAGGTAGACTTTATGCCAAATATCTTACCGAACGGAGCCCATGCAAAGGTGCATCAACGCCTCAAACCCAGAATCTTGGCATCAAAAAATAGTTATTTTTGTTGACTTTTCCGACTGTTATCACTCTTCCAGCAGATGGTTCCAATGTACTTTTTTGCGTACTTTCCGTTTCAGCAGCCTGATTGTTGAAATTTTTAGTTTGTCGGGACGACATAGATGACATAGGTTAAAAGGCGAAGCGTGATTGGTCGGCTACGTCTTATCGCTGCTTCATCGTGCCTTTGTCAGGTGGAATGATCGACATACTGTCGGAAACTTAAGAGGTGCCGTTAGGTTGTCGAGAGGTCAACCCGACATAGGCACGACAAAGCAGCGATAAGACATAGCCGACCAATCACGCTTCGCCTTTTAACCTATGTCATCAATGTCGTCCCGACAAACAAAACATTTCAACAATCAGGCTGCTGGCCTTTTTAAAGGCTTCCGATAAATTTTAAGGGGCCTTATGGCCCATTGTTGCCACTTTTGACCCATTTTTAGGGTTTTTTTCAATTTTACACACGTACAAATCAATTCAAACTAAGAACCGTGTACGTTTTTGAAAAGAAAGCATAAATGAATAAACATTTTCCGTGAAATTTTTTCCTACGTTGCCAAATTTTCGAGAAAAATCGCGCCAAAGAGCCAAAAATGGCCAAAATTCGATAAATTCCCACGCTTTAGGTTCAAGAAAATGGGGTACAACTTTTATATTGACGTAGGAAACAGTTGTTACCTATAAATACAACATATCAAATAATTATAGTTGTACCTGGATTCCCACGATGTGAAAATTGACCGGGAATTGGCCAAAAATGCCAAAAATTCGGAGACATTCTTCGAGGGCTATGTGAGCAACACAGCGGATGATTGAAGGGACATAAACAAGCCTAGATTTTTAAATTTCCTGGAGTCCAAGTGATACCTAATTGCCAGCATGATGCGAATCATTGCAAGTACGCGGCTCGTGCCATCGCGCCTTCCATTTTGCGGATACCACACGGACATCCATCAAGTACGAATAGTTGTATCTCTGCGCCGTCACCATCGCGCATATATTCTCTCGCTCTTTTTTCATGTTCTGTATGTTCCGTAAATCATATTCGGAGTCATTCTTCGGGGGCTAAGTGAGCAAAACAGCGGATGATTGAAGGGACATAAACAAGCCTAGGTGTTTAAATTTCATGGAATCTAAGTGATACCTAATTGCTAGCATGATGCGAATCATTGCAAGTACACGGCTCGTGCCATCGCGCCTTCCATTTTGCAGATACCACACGGACATCCATCAAGTACAAATAGTTGTATCTCTGCGTCGTCACCATCGCGCATATCGACGGTGATACTACCAA